GGCAGTTTTTCCCTGACAGTGCTAAGGAGGCTAGGGAGTTCGGACTGGGCAGAACTCACCACAGCACGGCAAAGCGGCTGTGGCCAGACTGCCTCTCTAGATTCCTCCTCACTGTGGGGGCATCTCCGAAAGAAAGGCAGCAGCCCCAGTCAGGGGCTTATAGATAAAACTCCCATCTCCCCGGGACAGAGAGAGCACCCGGGGGAAGGGGCAGCTATGGGTGCAACTTCAGTGGACTTAAAGGTTCCTGCCTGCTGGCTCTGAAGAGAGCAGCAGATCTCCCAGCACAGCGCTCGAGCACTGCTAAGGGACAGACTGCCTCCTCAAGTCGATTCCTGACCCTCATGCCTCCTGACTGGGAGACACCTCATACAGGAGAGCTCTGGCTGATATCAGGTCAGTGCCCCTCTGGAACAAAGCCTCCAGAAGAAGGAACAGGCAGCTATCTTTGCTGTTCTGTAGCCTCTGCTGGTGATACCCAGGCAAAAAAGGTCTGGAGTGGATCTCCAACAAACTGCAGCAGACCTGCAGCAGAGGGGCCTGACTGTTAGAAGAAAAACTAACAAACAGAAAGCAATAACATCAAGATCAACTAAAAGGACCTCCCCTCCCCAAAAGCCCATCTGAAGGTCATCAGCCTCAAAGATCAAAGACAGATAAATTCAAGAAAACAAGGAAAAACCAGCACAAAAATGCTGAAAATTCCAAAGACCAGAATGCCTCGTCTCCTCCAAATGATTGCAACTCCTCTCCCAGCAAGGGCACAAAACTGGATGGAGAATGAGTTTGACGAACTGACAGAAGTAGGCTTCAGAAGGTGGGTAATGAGAAACTCCTCTGAGCTAAAGGAGCATGTTCTAACCCAATGCAAGGAAGCTAAGAACCTTAATGAAATGTTACAGGAGCTGCTAACTGGAATAACCGGTTTAGAGAAGAAAATAAATGATCTGATGGAGTTGAAAAACACAGCATGAGAACTTCGTGAAGCATACACAAGTATCAATAGCCAAATTGATCAAGCAGAAGAAAGATGATCAGAGATTGAAGATCAACTTATTGAAAGAATACATGAAGACAAGATTACAGAAAAAAGAATGACAGTGGAACAAACAAAGCCTCCAAGAAATATGGGACTGTGTGAAAAGATTAAACCTACAATTGATTGGTGTACCTGAAAGTGACAGGGAGAATGGAGCCAAGCTGGAAAACACACTTTAGCATATTATCCAGGAGAACTTCCCCAACGAGCAAGCCAGGCCAACATTCACATTCAGGAAATACAGAGAACACCACTAAGATACTCTTCGAGAAGAGTAACCCCAAGGCACATAATTGTCAGATTCTCCAAGGTTGAAACGAAGGAAAAAATGTTAAGGGTAGCCAGAGAGAAAGGTCACGTTACCTACAAAGGGACTAACAGCAGATCTCTCTGCAGAAACTCTACAAGCTGGAAGAGAGTGGGGGCCGATACTCAACATTCTTAAAGAATTTTCAACCCAGAATTTCATATCCAGCCAAACTAAGTTTCATAAGCAAAGGATAAATAAAATCCTTTCCAGACAAGCAAATGCTGAGGGATTTTGTCACCACCAGGCCTGCCTTACATGAGCTCCTGAAGGAAGCACTAAATATGGAAAGGGAAAACCAGTACCAGCCACTGCAAAAATACACCAAAATGTAAAGACCAATGATACCATGAAGAAACTGCATCAACTAATGCGCAAAATAACCAGCTAGCATCATGATGACAGGATCAAATTCACACATAACAATATGAACCTTAAATGTAAATGGGCTAAATGCCCCAATTAAAAGACACAGACTGGCAAATTGGATAAAGAGTCAAGACCCGTTGATGTACTGTATTCAGGAGACCCATCTCACGTGCAAAGACACTCATAGGCTGAAAATAAAAGGATGTAGGAATATTGACCAAGCAAATGGAAAGAAAAAAAAGAAAAAAAAAAAGCAGGGGTTGCAATCCTAGTCTCTGATAAAACAGACTTTAAACCAGCAAAGATCAAAAAAGATCTTTTAAACCAACAAAGATCAATGCAACCAGAAGAGCTAACTATCCTAAATATTTATGTGCCCAATACGGGAGCACCCAGATTCATAAAACAAGTTCTTAGAGACCTACAAAGAGACTTAGACTCCCACACAGTAACAGTGGGAGACTTTAACACCCCACTGCCAATATTAGACAGATCAAGGAGACAGAAAATTAACAAGGATATTCAGGACTTGAACTCAGCTCTGGACCAAGTGGACCTAATAGACATCTATAGAACTCTCCACCCCAAATCAACAGAATATACGTTCTTCTCAGCGCTGTATAACACTTATTCTAAGGTCGACCACATAATTGGAAGTAAAATATTCCTCAGCAAATGCAGAAGAATGGAAATCATAACAAAGAGTCTCTCAGACCACAGTGCAATCAAATTAGAACTCAGGATTAAGAAACTCACTAAAACCGCACAACTACGTGGAAACTGAACAACCTGCTCCTGAATGATTACCGGGTAAATAACGAAATTAAGGCAGAAATCAAGAGGTTCTTTGAAACCAATGAGAACAAAGAGACAATGTGCCAGAACCTCTGGGACACGTAAAGGCCTCCATGTCTCCTCCCTGGAGACAAAGATTCTGAGGACGCTTCTTGAAGGCACCTCAGAAGGTCTCATTGCCCACATGCATGGCCCATTCAAAAACCTCTCCTTGTATCAACTTTTCCTCCTTCCCTCATGGATCCTCAGTTCTGCTCCTAGAATCACTTCCCACACAAACCCTCTGCACCAGAACGTTGCCTCTGGCTCTTCCTTCACAGGACCCCAGGCCACAACAGGCTACTTTAGGCAGCATGATGACCTACATCTTTGTGCTAAGAGGAATGGGAAGCCATTGGAGGGTTGGAAGCAGGTGCTCGATCAAATCTATGTTCTTAGGTGGGCATGGTGGCTCATGCCTGTAATTGCAGCCCATTGGAAGGCCAAGGTGAACAGATCACTCGAGCTGAGGAGTTTGAGACCAGCCTGGGCAATGTGGCACACAAGGATGGTCCCAGTTACTGAGGGGGTCAGAGCCCAGGGGAGCCTCCATCAGCACCACAAAGGCACAGCCATCAGTGTTGATTGGACCCAAGTCTCCAGAATACAAGACAGGGAGAGCCGTGTGGACCTGAGATATCACGTTGTCCAGCCCCCTTCTATAGCTGATGAGGAAACTGAGACTCAGAGAGGCGAGGTCTGGTGACAACAAGTGGGACTGAACTCCTGGACACACCTCAAGGTTCCTTGACCTGTTCCTGGCATCTCCTTTCGTTTTTTTATTTCTTCCCAAATTAACCTCTTTCCAACACAGCATTTCGAGTTCCCCTGGAACTTCATCGGTCCATCAGTGTCCCCTGGTCTGGAAGATCACTGGCTACTTGCCAAGGCCCCCACGACTCTGCTGCCATCACAACCACCATCACCACCATTATGAGAAAAACTTGAGACTGATGGCCCCCAAAGCTTGGAAGGAGCTGCGAGACCAAAGAATTGACTCGAACAAGTCCAGCTTGGTGAGTAGGTAAGTTTATTAGGACTTACACACAGGGCACTCCTGGGCGGCGGCAGGACAGCTCTAGAGATCTGTGCTTCCTCCCAATGCTAAGCTGCTTTCACGCTAATTTTCTGACTGTTTACTTACCGGGTAAGAGAGATGGGACTGTTTTCATTGATTGGTTCTCAGATACTCTCTGGGAAGTTTGAGTTCTCAGGGACACCTGCTCCTCAGCTGGGCACCACGGCCATGGCCCACCTCCTGCCCTTCAGGGTTCAAGCAGGGGACATACACCCTTCAGTAACCTAGATAGGACCGTCACACAACAACCACCCCAACAACCATCATCAAGAAGCCACTGGCTGACTGAGATACACGCCCGGAAGGACAAGGGAGAGAGGATGCTGGAAAGACAGAGTGACCATCACCAGGGAAAGACTTCATTCTTGGAAGGACATCAAACCTGGGGGTGGGTCTGTAGCGGGGCCGCTGTTTCTTCTCCTGTATCCAACAGTTCTAACTCTTTGGCTTTCTCTATTTTCAGCTCTTTCTTTTCCTGGCCTTCTCATTGTTGGTTCCTGCACACCTCCCCTCTATTCTTCCCCCAATATATTCTTTTTTTTTATTTTTTCTTTTTTTTTTCTTGAGACGGAGTCTCGCTCTGTCACCCAGCCTGGAGTGCAATGGCGTGATCTCGGCTCACTGCAAGGTCCGCCTCCCGGGTTCACGTCATTCTCCTGCCTCAGACTCTCGAGTAGCTGAGACTACAGGCACCCACCACCATGCTCGGCTAATTTTTTGTATTTTTTAGTAGAGACGGGGTTTCACCGTGTTAGCCAGGATGGTCTTGATCTCCTGACCTCTTGATCTGCCCGCCTCGGCCTCCCAAAGTGCTGGGATTACAGGCATGAGCCACCATGCTGGGTCCCCCAATATATTCTTTAGTCTAAAGTAAACTGTTTCTTCCCATTCCCCACACTTTCCCGTTCCCACTTTTCCCTTATTTCAGGCTCCAGAATTCCTGCCTTCTCCTTGCCGCACTTGCCATCTGCATTAACCCCTCCCCTGCTGTGCTCAGCTGCAGAAATGCCAAAGTCACTGACACTCAGTTCCATAAACTTTACCTCACCCTCTTTATCCCCCTAATAAAATGTTTGGGTTTGGGCCAAAGGCGGTGGCTCACGCCTGTAATCCCAGTACTTTGGGAGGCTGAGGTAGGTGGATCAAGACGTCAGGAGATAGAGACCATCCTGGCTAACATGGTGAAACCCCATCTCTATTAAAAATACAAAAATTAGCTAGGCATGGTGGTGGGCACCTGTAGTCCCAGCTACTTGGGAGGCCAAGGCAGGAGAATTGCTTGAACACAGGAGGCGGAGGTTGCAGTGAGCTGAGATCGCACCATTGCACTCCAACTTGGCGACAGAGCAAGACTATGGCTCAAAAAAAAAAAAAAAAAAAAAAAAAAAAAAAAAAAGTTTGCATTTTGTCTTGGCCCGTCCCAGGCATATCTCCCCTGGTGGTTGCCCTGCCCTGTGGTCACGGTTCTTGGCTCAGAGTCTCATACTTCTTGTTGAGAATGTTTAGCTTCTTCTCCAGCTCTTGAGCCACCTTCTTCGGCTCCTCAGCTGTCTTTGACTTTGCCCCCTCATGTAAGTGCTTTAACTGGCACACGAGGCTGACTACCTCCAGCACGAAAAGGGCGCCTTCAAAGACCTTATCAACGATCTTGGCTCCTCTGATCACCTCCGTGGTGTGGGATTCAGCAACTCTCTCCATCTCTCCAACTCTCTCCATTTCTCCAACTCTCTCCATCTCTTCAAAGCTTGTAGCTGAGACTGGCTCAGTGACCCGGTGGAGTGAGGCTGGGACATGCGGTACTGAGTGAGGGTTGGCTCTAGCTTGCCTGATGGCACGGATGGCCTTCCCAGTGTCTTCTGTGAATTTGACAAGATTGACACGTAAGGAAATAAAGTTGGGTATGTTGTGATACAGAAACTCGTTCATCTCCTCCACGGTGTCAAGGCTTTTGTTGACCAGTTCATGGGCTTCAGCTTGTGCCGCGCTTCTTTGCGTATTCCATGCTACCGCTGGTAATCCCGGTCAAGGCGGCTGCGATTCCCAACCCCGTCACAGGTTCCAAGAGCACAAGGCTGCTCCCCGCTGTGAAGGGTGCCAGACCCATGCCGAGGAAGGTCAGGACACCAGAGGCAACGCAGAGAGTGCTGGAGAACGCATTGGCGATGGTGGCGCCTTTGTGGACCTTCTGAACCTCACCTGCAAGGTCGCAGAGCCTTCTTATTTTATCCTGAAGCTCCCTTTCCAACCGAGGAAACTCTTCCAAAAACCGCTTTCTGTGCTGCTGGACTTCTTCGAGCCAGTTTTTGTCTTTCATGACCATGTGTCTTATAAGCTTGTTCAGAGCTTTATAGAGCTCATCTGCCTCATCCCTGCACAAGGAAAGTTTAAAGGATTAAGAAATGCAGTTTCCCCGTCTGTGAAATCGGCTCCATGCGATCTCTATCCTGTGTAAATTGCAGAGCTCTCACTATCAATCAAATAGAAACAAATTTTACAAATGAAGAGAATTTAAGCTCAAACATGCTTTGTTCATCATAGATACCCCTCAGTACTTATTCCATATGGAAATAAATATCTTAAAGGCATCTCAGATGCTCTTTCGTGGTAGGTGTTTGATAAAGATGCCTCCTCACTCAAGGGCAGGTCAACACCGTGATTGCCAAAGTGTTTGGAGAGGGGAAAACTCTGCAGATGAACAAAGAGCCGTGAGAGTGGGACAAAGACACCTTATTCCCAGGATGGTAGCAAAGTGAAGCATGAACTTTTCCCAAAGAGAGGCCTTCCCTTTGTCCTCAGCTCCTGGGAAGTGATCTCCAGGCTCCTGGAGTGTCCTGCCTGGTAGGAACATCTTTCTTTGCCTGGTGGTTTGGCCACGGGACAGTACAGCAATGTGATGGATGATGGGGTTTGGGGCTATTTGGTGTCTTTCCTGACTTCCAGAGGACCTGGGGACTAAAGGTGTGAGACCTTAGGGAGGGGCTGGAGACTACAGGTCAGTCATGAGGGCAGCTTGTGATCCAACCCCAGCAAATATTCTGGACACTAAGACATGGGTTGAGAAAGACTTTCTGCTTGACCAGCTCCAGCGGGGCGCTTCAGAGCTTCTTCTCCACTAGGCGCCGACCTTGGCCTTCCACACCCACCCACTGCTTGCTGGACTTGCACTGCCCAGCTCAGCAAGAATCTCCCCAAGTCGGTTTAGGGAGAGCCCTCCCTGCTTGCTGTCTGAGCACTCTTTGCTATCTGATCATGCTCCTCACTCCCACCGTTGATGGGTGAGTGTCTGACCTGCCTTTAGCGAGAATCCTGTTAGGCCAGTTTGGCAGGAACATCCCACTCTGGTGTCTCCTGTTAGTCCTGTTCCATCTGCCGCCCCTCACCCTGGTGTTGGCTGTGACTCCCACTCTGTCTTTACTGTGTTTGGAGCTGGACTCGGTCTCCCTCCCCTGTAACAACCATCCTGAATAAAGGCTTCCTTCCTGGTTTCATGTGATTCACAGGAATGTTTCCTTAACTGGGTGAGCTTCCCTGGTTGGCAGCACCCCATGTGTCTTGTCCCACATTGACACAGGATATCACAGCGTCCTGAGGACAATGAAGCTTCACACCTGAAGCCCTCCCAGACTCTGCCCTGTGTGTCTCTTCCTTAGGCTGATTTTAATCTGTGTTCTTTCTGTGTGATAAACCACAGTCGTGAAATAGCAGTTTTTAGTGAGTTATATGAATCCTTCTAGTGAATTATGAAATCTAAAGATGATTTTAGGAATCCCCATTAATGTTCAGGTGGCGTCAAAGGTAAGGTGCCCTCAGACATTGCAGTCTGGCTACCTCTGAGTACTTTGAATTCAAACGAAACCAAACCTCAGAGAGACAGGAGCTCACTTTGCCTGGCATGTGCTCCCTTCCAAGGCCTCATGCCCTTTCACTTTCTGGCTGAAGGCTACTGGGTCCGGGCACTGCCCCAGTTGACCGGAGTGGGAGATCTGGGTATTCATTCTGGCTCCACATGGACTCTCCAGCCACCTTACCGCCTCCTGACCTGCCCCCTGCACCCCCAACCTTCCAGGTCTCACTCGCAGATGTCACCAGCCCAACTGATGCCTTAGCAGTGACAGCTTCACCTGTGTGTACACCAAGGCCATGTGCAATTTTATGGAACCTCTAGAAGACTCGGGACACTTTCAGAACCATCTATATAAATTTCTAATGCTGAAAAGACCTGAATTTGGACAAGATGTTAGAAGAAGTGTTTTCCTTCTTGGTTGAGGATTTGTGAGTCTACTCAGTACCCCTGAAATTATATACATTGACAGCAACTCATTCTACTATGGAAATGGTCTCTAAGGCATACTGCTTGCCATTGTCAGGGGCTTCTTTGTGTAGAAGAGAAGAAGGTCCCAAAGGGTAGCCCAGAACTTGCCAGTTCCCAGGCAGGGTGTGAGAGACACAGGCAGCCATGACCCTCTATGTCCATGAGTGTTGGGATCATCCAGACAGAGAAGAAATATTCCTCTCCCACTCACATATCCTCTGCAAGTTCATGACCTCCTTAAGTTTCAAGCCCTTGGTGCCTCTCTTGCCACACCCTAGTCCCAGCCCTGGTGCCTCAACCTTCCTACTTGTCCTACAACCAAGGCTGACTCTTGCTCCATCCTGACCCCAGGCTCTGACACTGGTCCTGGTCTCTCTTGGCCTTTGGCCAGGATCTTGGTCTTGGTTCCCCACCTTTGACCTGGAGTTCACTCTAAGGCCTTCACCATACTCCTATGACATTGACTTGCTATTTCTATTGGACAGATGACAGTTCCCAGTCTCCATGACATAAGCCTAGAGCCCAGGGACTGGGCACAGACAGAGCCGGAAAGAGACCCATCGCTGTCCAACTCCACTCCAGCCTCTCAGCATCCTGGACCAGCAGAAGGGTCCTGCCGGGTTTATGGAATTCCTCAGTTGAGAAAAAAGGCCCCAGCCAGCATCCCCAGGAACACACATCAATTAAGTCAGGATTTTTCGGACTTGTCCCAAAGGAAGTGCTGCTGGACTTCAAGAGGAAGACCCTTGACCCTGGTCTATTTCCACCAACCTTGTAAGATGTTAACGTTAACTGTGCACCTACTATGTGTCAGTCATTATGCTGAGTACTTTACATGCATGATCTCATTTTTCTCACAGTAAAACTCCATGGATGAAGAAAGGCTGAAAGTGGGAAAGTAACTCGCAAATTTCCCATCACCAGCAGATGGCAGAAATGACCCTGTCCCTGTGGGCTTCCTGTCCCCTCAGCCTGAGGCTACTCACTGCCAGCGAAGGACTGGGAGGAAATGTTCCTCCTGGACTGCCAAGAAGGTCATCCTCAAGCCCAGCAGAGGGGCCTGCCTGGAGGAGGTGTGTCTGTCAGGGAAAACTAGCCCAAGGGAGATCTGGGTGGCATCACCAGGGTTCCCAATGGAGATAACCCCATGGAGGTTACCTGGGCAGTTCAGCAGTAGCCACCACTCTCTCCCAGGCTTTATGGTCACTCAGCAGGAGTAGCAGCTCCTGTGGGCTCACGTTTTTCTGGAAATAATTAAGGTAATCCTCAAGAGAAATGTTGCTCTCTAGTTGGAAAGAAAAAAGGATCAGGTTGGAGGAAAGTGTAGAGGAGATAACAGCCATTGTGTAAAAGATGGTTACTTGTTAATTTTCCAGGACAGCTGTGGTGTGGGATACGTTTGATGGAGTCATCAGTGCTATCAAGGGAATTGTATGCCCCCAAAATTCATATGCTGAAGCCCTAAAGTCAGGTGACTATATTTGGAGATCAGGCCTTTAAGGAAGCAATTAAGACTGAATGAGGGCCGGGCGCGGTGGCTCAAGCCTGTAATCCCAGCACTTTGGGAGGCCGAGACGGGCGGATCACGAGGTCAGGAGATCGAGACCATCCTGGCTAACACAGTGAAACCCCGTCTCTACTAAAAATACAAAAACTTAGCCGGGCGAGGTGGCAGGCGCCTGTAGTCCCAGCTACTCGGGAGGCTGAGGCAGGAGAATGGCGTGAACCCGGGAGGCGGAGCTTGCAGTGAGCTGAGATCCGGCCACTGCACTCCAGCCTGGGTGACAGAGCGAGACTCCGTCTCAAAAAAAAAAAAAAAAAAAGACTGAATGAGATCGCAAGGGTAGGACTCTAATCCTGTTAGAGGGCTAGTGTCCTATTGTAGGAAGTGAAAGAGACACAAGCAAGCCACGTGATCACACAGCACAAAGGCAGCCTCCACACACCAGCAAGAGAGTCCTCCCCAGACTCCAACCCTGCCGGCACCTTCACCTTGGACTTCTTGCCTCTGGAAGTGTGCGAAAAGAAAAACCAGATGTTGAAGTCACCCAGCCTGTGATATTTTACCATGGCAGCCTGAGAATATTGAAACACCAGGGGAGTGCCACGGTGCTTTGGGGAGGAATGAATCCTTTTCAGCTCAGAACCAACACAAAGTGAGCCTTCCAGGCCAAGGAAGAGGAAACATCCCAGTGATCACTTCTATCTGCCACGTGCCTGTTGGGTGTCAAACACTTTATACCTGTGTCTTCAAAATGTGAGTTTCAACACATCATTGGGTTATGAAATTAGTTTATTGGTTCAAGAGCAGCATTTTGAAAAGAAAATCGATTTGAAAATATCAGAATATAGCAATCACAGCAGGGATGAGTATTGTTTTTTGTGAGTTATTTCAAATATATACCCCTTAATGTAAATTCCTGGAATCCAGATGTGTTTAGGCATTCCGAATTTTCACTATTTTAGAAAGGACACGGGGTGCATATGGTATATTCCTGACCATTCCCAGCAGAGGCTAGACTGCTCCCCGTAATCAAACCCACACATGTTTCAACAGTGAAACAAGCAAATATTCACATTAAATGGGGTAAATAATGGTAGGCCTACAAAGAACTCGAGTCAGTACAGAGCAGGATTACTCCTGAAGTCAGCTGCCCCCAAAATGTGTGGTTTGCAGGGATCTGGAAATTATGGAATTACAGATAATGGACTGGGGACCAGTATGTATTTGTGTGTGCACCGAGACATGATGTAAAATTGTTTCCTGCTGTGGACACACAAGGGGCCTCATTCTTAATTCACAGAAGAAGAAAGTAAAATCCAGACAGCGAGAGTCACCGCCCAAAACCAGCAAGCAGGAAGCTCAGGATTTGACTCCAAGGCCAACGTTTCCTTGACATTGCTTCGAAGACTCCTTGTGTTTTAAAAATGCCTGTGATTTGGTATTAAACCACAGATCATCCTGTTTGGGAGGGACAGTTTCTTCCTTGGCCCCCTAGCCCAGCCCAGCCCAGGAATCCGGGGTGGCCTAGGAGCTCCTGGCTTCTAATCTTCCCTGCCCTCCCCTGGTCTTGGACAGGATTCAGCACAGCCCAGTTTGCTGTCCAGGGCGGCTCCTGAGCAGAGCTGACTTGGTTGCCACTGCAACTCAGTGAGGGGAGGAAGCCATCCTAAGGAAATGGGGCTTAGGGAAATGAACGCAGTGCTGACTCGGCCGGGCGAGGACTTGTCTTGTTTTTTCTTTTTCCTTCTTCACCAAAAGGAAGAAGGAAACCCAGGGTTGGATGGAAGGAACCTCCAGCACTAAATCTGTATATTTCTTGGTGGGGTGGGGCTGGTGGATATAAAAGCAAAATTAAAACAAAATCCAGCTCTGAAACATTCCTGGGCAAACAATACCTACGAGGCCTTGAGAACGGCTGTCACCCCCCTTAAACTGCAAGCTGTGGGAAACTGAACTGGGGTCACATCAGATGGGCGCTTCTGTTAGACACAAACAAAACTTAACCTCGGCCAGTCACGAGCAGCCAGCTGACAGCGGGCCATGCTGAGATGGGAATACTGGGAGGTCATAGAAGAAACAAGAACTCCAGGCAGCTGGTTCCCATGACAGACACAGAAGGAGCTGCTGAAACCAGCTGCAGGGACAGGGGGAGGCGACAGGCCTACAGGACCCTGACAAACAGGAAGTGGCCAATCCGGCGAAGACCAGTAAGATCCAACTCAGTGCTGGGTCGGACTCACGATTCGCCTCACACTCAATCATACCCTCCTTGTCTCACTAAACCCCACCCCCACCCGCGCCACAGCAGTTCCATGTATGCCTGTGTTTGGTACAAAACTGTGTGGTACCCACCCCTCCCCGCCAAGTTCCAAGAAATCCCCACCTCTTCCCAGAAATCTTCATGCTTACTCCACCCCTTAATTTAATAAACCAGCAAAGGCAGAAACCCCAAACCACACTGGGCCCGACTGGCTCTTCTGAGTCCGCCTGCACTCCCACCCCCGAGCCTGAGCGTCCGCTTTGCAATAAAAGCTGATTTGCTTTTGCTTTTGCTTTTGCCTTTGCTTGGACTTAACCTTTTTCTCTCTTGGATGTCAAAAACCTGGGCAAGGCTAAGGTCCGGTCTCACCTGCATTCGGAGACCTCCCTAAACTCACCAACACCAATGTGACCAGGGATTTTCCAACAAAGTAAACCAAAACAGGAAGTTTTGTAAGTGCAACCAATCAAGTCATGTCCTTATTGCAGTTTCATATTCACCCGCTAAACATTGTCTCCCACACTTTTTCACCATAGCACGAAGCCTCCTCCAGTTTGCTGTTTCCCAATTCAAGAATTCTTTCTTACTCAAATAAACTCTTTAAAATTCTACTGGGCCTCAGATTTTTCTTTGACCAGGGGTATTTTAGATGACTGGACTCAACCCCTGCCCGGGGCAGTCATCACTGGTCAGCAGGCGCTTGTGGTGGGCAGGGCAGGGCGGGTGCCCCTAACACAGCTGGGAGGACTGGGTGCCTTCCACCTGGAATCAACAGGGGACAGGTAGAGGGGATGGGAACCAGCCCTTAGGTAGGCCCTACCGTGTGGCAGGCACCGGCCAGGCCAGATAGCTGTGTCATATTTGATCCTCAAGACAACATGGGGAAATATTATTCTCATGGTACAGGAGAGGGGAGGTAAGGCGCGCCAGGTCACACAGAGGGGATGTGGCAAAGGCCAGACCGGGGTCCAGTTAAGTTGGAAGCTGGATCAGGCCTGATACATTCCCACAAGACCACTCAGAGCAGAGGGGCTGGTGCAGGGCAAGAGCTGGAGGGAGGGGACCAGCCTCGGCTAGAAACACCCAGGGTCAGCTGGGAGCAGAGCGGGAGGTGACAGGTCGGGGCTGCTGGTCAACCTGCTCTCCCAGCCCTCCCCTCCTGGACCCTGCTCTCCCCCCACTCCCCTCCCCTGCTGGTTCCATTTCCCCAAGGCCGTCCTGCCCCACTTGAGACATTTGCTAGTGCCAGGGTAGAGAGGAAGTGGGCTCCTGGGCCGTGCCCCCCCTGAGGAGAAGTCAGGATGCAGATGGCCCCACAGACCCCTGGGTCGGGGGACTCTATGCGGCTTCTCTTGGGGCTTGGAGCAGACTCATTGGCCTCCTTGTCCATCTGGGTTCCTCTGGGGTTCACTCAGCTGTGGAGGCACCACCCTCCGTGCTAGGTGCGAGTGGGAACCAGCCAGGGAAGAGGAGGCGAGCCTACCTGGGTCCATGGTGCCAGCAGTCCGGTCACTGAGGGGCTTACCTTGAGGATCTCCTGTATCTGTCCCACCTGGATGGTTTTGCTGCACCCTTGAGGAGGAGAAAACAAATTGTGGGATTGAATGTGAGCCACCTGTGGACAGAGGGAGGCTTGAGCAGCCGGGGCTCTGCACATCCTTCTAGGGTGGCAGCAAATGTCGAGACCAACCTAACCCAGATTGTTTCTCTGTCACCGAGTCCCCATCACCTGCTATTTACAGACACTCACCTCGCTCCAGCTTCCTCTGCCCTCACTCCCACACCAAGGAAAAGTCCGCTTGTCCTGTTGGGGTATGAGGAGAAGATAATCAGAGGAGGGGCAGCCACCTGATCATTACAGAAAACTACAGAGTCCATACACAGGAATAGAGATGGGGAAGAAGGTTCTGACAATGACCTGGGCCTGGGAACATGTGTGATAACTGGCTGATGATAGCCAGTGTGTGTTGCGTGTCTGTGATGTGCAGGGCTCCTTACATGTGTCTCATTCGATGATCACACACAGCCCGGGAGATGGGTACCACCTTCCCATTCAAACACAGAGGAATCCACAAAAGTTAGGGAACCTGCCCGTGTTTTCACAATAGTGCTAGAGCCAGGACTTCTGCTTCAACCCCATGTCTTCAATGACTGTGCTCTACTCCCTTCAATATACAATATTCAGTCTTGTATACACGCTCATGGGAAATGACTCCTCATTGCAAATCCGTGTCTCACACTCTGTGCTCAACTCTTCGTCTTGGTGAATTCACTGCTGCTGCAGCGGACAGCCTGTGTCCCCGTCGCTTCTCTAAGGTCCTCTGTCCCACAAAGACCTGGATCCTGCCAGATGCCGGCGCAGCCCCTGCTGTGGCTGCCGAGCCCTCCTGGTGCTGCCCTGTCCCCTCTGCTGTCCTCTCTGGCTGATGGACCTTAGGGTATTTCTAATTCTTCATGTAATTTATGCTACAAAGAACATCCTCCTTCTCCTAAAACTTTGCTCACATTTGAGATTATTTCCTTAAGATATTCGTAGGAGTAGAATTAGGTTTTATACCTACAGCCACACTGTATGCACATTGTACCAAATTCACACTCAAACTAGCAGTACGTGAAGATGCCCATTCTCTCAGTCTCACTGGCTCTCAGTAGTCTCTTCTTTAGGACAAAAAACCATATACACAACATGTAAATGTGAGAACTAAATATACTTGTTACTAATACCAATTAGTACAAAATTTAAAGCACAAAGGTAGCAGTTGGGATGTGAAACACTGAAGGAAGGAGAAGGAAGATTAATATCATCATTTTTTAAAGAGAGAAGTCAAGAAATACTGGGTACTACTGAGGGCATGAGAAAGTTGTAAGTAAACTATTTACAGCTACAAAGTTGCTAATGGAAGACATAAAACTGGTGATAGAATGTTAGGAAAAGGTGGAGAGGAGAGATAGAGGGAGGGTACAAATAAGACGAAATGACTAATAATGATACTATAATTACTACTAATAATACGGCTTCAGGCCCATCGCAGTCACGGGCGGCTCCAGGCATTACCATTTCTCTTTTCTCACCGTGTGTCTCTGCTCACTCCCTGGCACACCCACTTCCAGCAGCTGGTCTTTGTTTGCAGCCTTTATTTTCACAGCTCAGTGGTTTCCGGGCCCCCTGATGGGGTTCCACCCTCCAGCTCTCATACAAAAGCCCCCTCTCAAAAGCCACTCGCCTCCCTCTTTCCCCTTCCTGCCTTTATCCCAGGGTTCAGACACACAGATGTCTGTCTTCTGGGACCCCACGCAGCAAGGGTAGAAGGGGGACCCAGTCCTGGGCAGCAGCTCACCAGGGCAGTATGCAGAGGGGTGTCTGGGTGCTTCTTGCTATAAGGGACAGGGGTGACAGGAGAGGGGGTTCCCTTCCCCTTGTTCCTGCTTTGCTCACTGTATGACCCCCTGGGCCAGGACAGCCATCTCATGATCCATGAGGACACAGGAGGACCAGGAGAGAGCAGAGGAGCAGGAGGGCAGAGAGAGCTGAGGCCTCAGACTTGCTCGACACTTGTGAGGAGCTGCACCCAGGATCCCATCCTCTTTGGTCATTGTTGGCCTGGCTCAGACCCTGATTTGGGGCCTCTGCTGAGAATTGAGGCTGGATATTGCCTGTTAGCCTTGACTAGGATACAGCAGGTTCTCCCTGGGCGAGTCTGCTGGTTGGTCAATTCTGGGAAGGGACTTTGGTTCCTGAAAGAAACCCAGATGGCCCAGGCCCAGCCCAAGCCCTGCCCAACTGTGCAGCCCAGACCGGGGACCTCCCTCCCACCTCAGCACTCTGAGCCAAGCTCACCAGATGCAGAGGACAAAGAGTCTCAGCAAAGCAGCTCCCTCCATGTCACTGCGGGGCCTCCTCCTTGGGCAGGAATAGAGGGTCGACACAGTGTGGTCCTCCTGAGAAATCACCATTTTCATTTCATTTTTGAGAAACGGTTTTGCTCTGTCACCCAGGCTGGAGTGCTTTGGCGCCATCCTAGCTCATTGCAGCCTAGATCTACTGGGCTCAAGAGATCCTCCTCCTTCAACCCTCTGAGTAGCTGGGACTACAGGTGCACGCCACCATGCTGGGCTAATTTGTTCATTTTTAATTTCATAGAGACAGCATCTCCTGTGTTTTCCAGGCTGTCTTGAACTCCCAGCCTCTAGTGATCCTCCCGCCTCTACCTCCCACAGCACTGGGGTTACAAGCCACAGCCATAGTGCTTTCTATCTTGACGGGCATCTCTTCTTAGTGAAGAAAAAGAAGACCATGACTCAGATTTCACAGAAATTTCCCCCCGATTTCATGTACTTTTGGCAGCTCTATCAGGTTTTTGAGAGGGGAGAATACTCAGGCTGAGAGCGGAGGTGACTTGCCCAGAGTCACACAGCTCTTGGAGGGCAGAGGGGAGGCCAACATCTGGCCTTGTGACTCTGATATAGAAGCAAAAATGTGTAATTTTGATAATCCAAGAGTTTCCAGGTTTGATTCTGCTTCTACAAACACAGAGATCTAAGCTGTCACTCCTGTAGTTATATCCACAATTCCACAGTGTGGTTCTTGAATCTCTTGATTGCAAAGCTGGCATCATGCCACAGACACTATTCCACAACATGCCCTTCTCACTCCCCTGTCTCAGCCACGTTTCCCATTAGGGACACAGCACAGCCTGTTTCTTCTCCATCCCCCCAGAGGTCTGAAGAGAGGGACAGAGGTGAGGGCCAGAGACGTGGAGTCCTACGAGCTACCTGCTCAGCCTCCAGACACAGGACCCTGGGCAAGTCACTCCCCTCCCAGGGCCTCAGTTTCCCCACAGGGCCTGGCACAAGTTGGTGCTCAGACTTGGGGGGGGGGTGGTGAGATGACCTCTAGGTTCCTTGTATCTCAAAATAAATTTGTCGTTCCCATTGGGCCTCAGCAGCAGCACCCTGGGGCCAGCCTGGGTGTTTCCAGGCCATAAGGACAGACCAGAGTCCGGGTCACCTCCCCACCTCCACCTTCTTTGGTTCCTTCAAATTTCCTAAAGAGACAGGCACCCCCAACACAGACCTTCCTTCTGGGGTCCCCCAGCTGTGTCTCCACAGTCTAAACCAGAGCTGAGCCCAGGGAGCTTTGTGAACCCATCTGAGCTATTTCCCGGCCTCTCTCTGCTGTTTAAGGGCACAGCAGGAGGGAGGGAGCATCAGACTCAAGCCTGGGTGCAAATCCCGGCTCTGCTGCTGCTTTCCTGTCTGATCTGAACCAGTTACTAACGTCTCTGAACTTATCTACAAAAGCGGAATGATCCTTCCTTCATGGAGCTATTGTTGAGAATAAGGAGATGGGGGCAGGTCAACGGTCCCCGACTTACCGAGGAATCTTCCCCTGACAGAGACTGAGCAAGATCCAGCTGTTCCGAGCTGTGTGGATCCCACCTCCAGGTGTGCACCTGTGTAATAACCAGACACGTCCTCTGGCCTCCCAGATAACTAGGAAATTGGAAAGGGAAGGTGAATGTCACAACTTCCCAGCAACTCGTGATCAAGCACAGCAAACAGGCTGCTCCCCAGCACCACCTTCAGTCCAGGCCCACCCTCTTTGCTGTTGTACTTAGAGGAGCAGCCGCAGACGAAACACCCAGGTCCCTCTCATCCAACCCACCTGCCTCGCATCCTCAGGGTTGGGGGTCTGCAGTGGTCTTCAGGAAGAAAGACCTGCCACTGACAGCCTGTGGGACCCTCCCTGTCCTCCCGTGCACCCACACTCCCCAGATGCCTGCCTTCCTCCTGCCCATGCCATCAGCATAAGCACAGTCTCCCACACGTGCCGTGTGGATGCTTATTGTATATTTATTGTAATGCTGTTGGGGTTATTTTGTTTATGTTTTGGAGACAGGGTCTCACTCTGTAGCCAAGGCTGAAGTGCAGTGCCACAATCACAGTGAACTACAGCTTCAAACTCCTGGGCTCAAGCCATCCTCCCACCTCAGCCTCCTGAGTAGCTGGTTCTACAGGCATGATCCAGCCACCCAGCTAATTTTTTGAAAAAATATGTTAGAGATGGGATCTCACTATATTGACTGGGCTACTCTTGAACTCCTGGCCTCAAGTGAGCCTCCCACCTTGACATGAGCCACCGCCCCAGACCTGCTCTTGTTGAAGGCCATGCCTTGTGGATTTTACACATTTGCTTATGTGGGGTCTTCTGCCAGAAGCACCTGCTTCCACCATCTGGAAAAATCATGCTCATCCTTCAATGACAAAATCAGGCATTGCCTCCTTTCAGAGAACCCCCAGCATCCTCCCCTGCAGAGGCCACCGCCCCATGTTCCACTCCCGAGGCACACTGGGTGGAGGGACTAGAGACCACTGCTCACCACACTTCCATGGCTAAGAAGTCAGGCAACCAGATTGCTGTTGGACTTTTGTGCTTTGCCCCAGGCAGAAGGGCCTCAGAGGCAGCTAAACCACAGAAGCCAACCTGACCCTTCCATGGAAGCCTATTTCATCCTCAGCAAACATCTCTGGGGGCATCGTGGCCACCTCCCCCCACCCCTACACACATAACCCAGCTTGTGAGGCAGGAACAAAAAGGTGATTACACAGGGACTGCATAATACACGTTGCAATACATTCCATTTGCAAATACTTCTCCATTTGATTGAGTTTTATAATCATCCCCTCAATGGGCCAGGATTATGATCTGATTTTGCTGATGAGGAAACCGAAGCAAAAGGAGAGGAAGTTGCTTTCATCCAACAACTCAGGGAGGAAAAATGATTTAAGGGCCCAGATTTGGGATGTTGGTCCCCTTCTCAGCCTCAGGACCCTGCTCCTCACCTACTGGTTGCTCCAGTTACACCCTCAGTTTAAAGGTGGCTTGGGACACCGCCCCAGAGGGTGCAAGCCACCTTGGCAGCTTCCGTATATGGTTTAGGTCTTCAGGTGTGCAGAATGCAAGAGTGAAGGAGACTTGGTAGCTTCTATCTAGATTTCAGAGGGTTTGTGGAAAAGCCTGGGTGCCCAGGTAGAAGCCTGCAGCAGGACAAATTCCCCACAGAGATAATCTACTAGGACAGTGCTGAGGGGAAAGGTAGGGTAGGAGCGCCTACACAGAGTCCCCACCAGGGCACTACCTAGTGAGGCTGTGGGAAGAGGGCAGTCACCCTCCAGATCCCGTAATTTTAGAGCCACGAGTAGCTTCCATCCTGAGCCTGGAAAGGCCACATGCACTCAACTGTAATCCATCTGTAGCAGCAGCCACAGCAGCTGCCCCCTGAAAAGCCACAGGGGCAGAGCTGCTCAAAGCCTCGGGGGACCAACACTTGTGCCAGCGTGCCCTAGGTATGGGACATGGATTCAAAGATTGTTCTGGAGAGTTAAAGTTTCACGTCTGCCCTGCTGGGTTTGGGACTTGCATGGGGGCATGTTGCCTCTTTCTTTTGGCCGACTTCTTTCTTTTGGAATGGGAGTGTTTATGCAATGTCTATGCCACCATTTTATCCTGGAGTAACTTGTTTTGATTTTACAGGCCCCTAGCTGGAAGGAGGGGTCTTTGCATGTGATTTAGAACTTTGGACTTGAGGTTGGAACAAATTATGACTTTGGGAGACCCCTGGGAAGGGATGACTGTGTTTTGCAATGTGAGAAGAACATGTGATGGGGGGGTTGTGTTGAATGATATGATTTGAATATGTGTCCCCTTCAAACTTCATGAGGAAATGTGACCTTCCAGCATTGGAAGGGGGCCTAGTGGGAGGTATTGGATCATGGGGGCAGATTCCTCATGAATGGCTGAGCGTCATCCCCTTGGAGCTGAGTGAGTTTTGACTCAATTCATGCAACATCTGATTGTTTAAAAGAGTGTGAGAGCTCTGCCTCCCTCCTCTTGCTCCCATGCTTACCATTGACATGCCAGCTCCCCTTCCCTGCTGGCATGATTGTGAGCTTCCTGACGCCCTCACCAGAAGCAGATGCTGGAGCCATGCTTATGAAGCCTGCAGAACTATGAGCCAATTAAATCATGTTTTAAAATAAATTACCCAGCCTCAGGTATATGTATATGTATCTGTATCTCTATCTATCTATCTATCTATCTATCTATCTATCTATCTATCTATCTATCTATTATTTTTTTAATATAGAGTTTTGCTCTTGTCGCCCAGGCGTTCCTTAACCTCCCCTCCAGTTCCTGAGCCTGTCACCTCAGCTCCTCAGCCGACTCAGACTTTGCCCCTTCATTAAAGTGCTTTGACTCACACACAAGGCTGACCATATCCAGTAGAAGGAAGGCACCTCTGGTGGCTGCACCCCTGACCCAGGCTCATCTGCTCATTGCAAGAGCAGTGCCTTCAGCAGCTCTCTCCACCTGTGCACCAGTTCCAGCTGAGACTCGTCAAGTTGCCAAAGGGTGCATGGCATTGGCCACTAAGGGAGGGATGACTCTGGCTCGTCTGATGGCTCGGATGGCCCTCCCAATGTCTTCTGCAACTTGGTACACATGGTCAGATAAGGAAACAAAGTCAAGGATGTTCTCACCTACAAACTCCTGCATCCCCTTCACTAGGCCAGTGTTGCCTATGACCAGGCTGATGGCTTTGGATGCTTCAGAAAATGTCACTGAGTGTTCTATGATGCTGGTGTTAATACCACTTACAGAAACCGCTGTTCCCAGCACTATGCCAGTTTTCAAGAGCATCAGACTAGCTCCTTCTGTCATGGGTGCCAGAGCCAGGCCAGGATGGTCAGGACGTCAGAAGCAGCACCTGCAGTACTGAACACCACACTGGGGATGGTGCAGCCTCTGTGGACCTGCTCAATCCTGTCTGCAAGTGCACAGAGCTTTCTTATATGCTCCTCAAGCTTCCTTCTCAACCGAGGAAAGTCTTTCAATACCACTCCCGGTGCTGCCCATCGTTTTGCAGCATGTCTTTGTTCTTTATGGCCTTGTGTGCGGTAAGCTTATTCAGAGCTTTAGGGAGCACATGTGCGTCATCCCCTTACCAATAAAGTCAGACGATTAAGAACGGCAGTTTACTCATGTGTAAAATGGGCTCAATTAGATCTCTCCTGTGGAAATCATATAGTTTGAGAGTAAAAACTAGAAATCAAATGGAAAGCTGTTTTACAAATGCAAACACTTTTCTGCCAACATTAAATATGTTTTGTACATCATAGATCCGCTGCATTACTTCTTCATTCCAGGAGCACGTGAGTTAAAGTCATCTCAGACGCTCGTTAGTGGCAGGCATTTGATAAAGATGCACCTCACTCAAGGGCAGGTCACCACCATCACTTGCAAAGTATTAGTAGAGTAGAAACCCAGTAGATGAACAAAAAGAAGTGGGACTGGATCCAAAAGACCTTATTCTGTGAAGAATTAACTTTACTCAAAGAGAGGTCTTCCCTTTGTCCTTGGCGGGGAGGTGGTTGCCAGGGACCAGGGGCCGGGTGGAGCATGAGGAGTTTAGAATGAGGAGTTCTTGTTTAGTAAATACAAAGTTTCAGTTTTGCTGCCAGGGCCTGGGGGACGGAGAATGAGGTGTTATTGCTCACTGGATACAAAATTTCCATTTTGCAAGAAGAAAAGAGTTATGTGGATGATGGTTGCACAACAGTGAATGTAATTCCACTGAACTGTACACTTAAAAATGGTTAATATGATCAATTTTAGGTTAGGAATATTTTATCACAATTTAAAAAATTAAAAGTTCTTTCAAACACAACCTTTGCAGAAAAAAAGTAATAGCACCGGAGCCTTTTTAGGTTTGCTAAACATTTTTACTCACATAATTATACGAGTTTCAACAAGAGCCCTGTCATGAAAATATTTACTAACCTGGTTTCCCGGAAGAAAAATCGAAAGTTCAAGTGCAGTGAAATGACTTACCCAGAAAGAGGCAGAGCTGGGCTTTAGCCAGGCCTTTCTGGTTCTTGTTTTGTTCTGTTTTCTGGACCATCCTGTTTCCCCCAAAGCAAGTGACTTCCCAAAATCTCTCAAGTGTTCTGAAAATGTAATTTTCTTCCTCACTTTCTCCCTGTTGGCTCAAGATGAATCACAAAACTCTAAATACCACCAGAATATGCTGCCCAAGTCCCACCTGTTCTATGGCTGATGGGCACAGGGAGCTGGGTCTGGCTGGGCCGGTGATGACCGACTGTAACCCACATCAAGGACTAACATGCTCCCGAAACAGACCCCACGTCCAGCAATTTGCAAAAGCTGCCCTGAAATGTTGTCATCACAGAGAGTGTCCCAGTGTCCTGTCCAGATATCCCTCCCTCCCATGACCTGGAGAGGATATTTGGCATCAGACAGCTGGAATTTGCCCCAGTTTTTGGCTTCATGACTCAGTTTTCTTGCTTGTAGAATAAAGCTCATCATAGAATTTATCTCTCAGAATTTCTAAGAGAATAAATTCAGGCAGGGTGGGGAATATGCATGGCATATAGTAGATGCTCAGTAAACAAGAATCCATTTTTCTGAGTACTCACTCTGTATACAGGGCAGTGAGCAATCACGGTGTCTGCATGATCTCCATTTGTAACCGAAGAAAACTTCAGCTGCTCACTGCTTGCAAAGGCAAATGAACAAGGATGAGAAACAGTGAAAGGAAAGTGACTTCATTCCAAAAGCCCACATCGGGGAATGAGGTCAGGCTAGTGTCTTAAAGAAACCATTTCAGATTTTGAGCTGAGGGCAGGGGTTTCAAAAGGGAAACTTGATATGAAAGCCATGCAAGAGGGGTGAAGAGGTGCCAGCGACTTGTCCAATGACCATCTCGAGTTATTGCCCCATCTGGTGTACGGACTGGGGGCATCTCCAGGACAGCCGGGTTGGAAATTCACTGTAGCCGTGAGGTAATT